GATCTCTGTGAGTTCGAGGCCAGCCTGGACTACCAAGTGAGTTCCAGGAAAGGCGCAAAGCTACACAGAGAAACCCTGTCTCGAAAAACCAAAAAAAATAAAAATAAAAAAAAATAAATAAAATGGAATTCAGCACCTGCTTCCAACTCAAATGCAAACACTCCCCATCATGTGACCTTGGTCATATCTATTTCCCCTTTCTTGGCTTCAGTTACTTCAATTATAACATGGGAAAATAGCAGTGATCCACTCAGAGTGATATCATGGTGGTTAAAAGAGGTACAGAAGTAAGGCGGTGCCTGCTACAGATTGGTACATGTTAGGGGACACCCCCATCTCTAAACTGTGCTCTTAGAGTTGTGGCTCACCACAATCTGTCTCCCTGGTTGATATTTCAAGCATTGTTCTTGAGCCAGTGTGTGCTAAAAGAATTAGTGAATGAATGAATGAATGAATGAACGAATTAAATGTGATTGCTGGAGGGATCGTTCAGCAGTTAAGCACAGGTACTGCTCTGCAGAGGACCTGAGTTTTCTAGCATCTGTATGGAGTGGCTCACAACTGCCTCTAACTCCAGCTCCAGGGATCTAACACTCTCTTCTGGCTTCCTCAGTCACTGTGAGTGCCTTCGTGCGTGCACTACTTCTGGAGAGGCCTCATCCAGTCAGCAATAACACAAGTGACAGGAGACCAAACAGCCAGAACAGTCTGCTCTACCTCTCTTCCCTCCTCAACATCAGATCTTGAACAGCAGCTGGCAGCTGGGCCAGACCTTCAGTCCTAAGACCCATGCCTCAGTAAGACCCACGCCTCAGTAAGACCCACACCTCAATAAGATCCACTCCTCAATGCCCACTCTAGCACTTACCAATTATTTTGATTTCATGAGTTAGAATAATCTTTCTTTGGCTCATGTCGTAGGCACCTTTGGAGGCAATGGGGTTCCTTCTGTACAGCTAACCACAGCAGTTCTGCCGGCCACGTCGCCCACTGTTTGCTATTTATAGGACACTACTTCCTCTCAGAGGCTGGCCTTACACCAATAATAGTTGATTTCCTCATTGCCAGGTATAAACATTAAATCCTGAGAGCAATTGTCAAATATCAAACATGGGATGGGCAAGACAGAGGTTTGCTTTGAGTCACCAAACATTAGTGAGTGCCCATCAAGTGTGAAGCACTAGGCACTATTGTCTTTGTGCCAACTTACCACTCATGAAATAAGTGTGTGCCCAATAAATGTAT